TGACAAGGGTAAGATGGTGTTTCATTGTGGTGTTAATTTGCATTTCCCTAGTGATTAATCATATTGAGCATTGTTCATATATTTGTTGGGTATTGGTCTATCTTCTTTTAAAAAACTTCTATTTATGTCTTTCTTCACTTTTTAATGACTTTTTTTCTTGCTGATTTTTGTAAATTCTTTGTAGATTCTGAATATTAACCCTTTACTGGGTATACGTGTATAGTTTGCAAATATTTTCTCCCACTCTGTAGGTTGTCTATTAGCTGTAGATTATTTATTTTGCTGTTCAAAAGATTTTTAGTTTAATTAAATTCTGTTTATTTTTATTGTTGCTGTCTTTGCCTTTGGGTGTCTTAGTCATAATTTTTTTCATCTTGGTCAATGGCTAGAAGAGTTTTCTCTACGTTTTCCATAGAGGGTTTATATGATTTCATGCCTTACATTTAAGTCTTTTATCCATATTAATTCTTGTCTATGTCAAGAGATAGGCATCCTGTTTCATTCCTCCTTTGTGGCTGTGTATTTTACCAATACCATTTATTGAATAGGGCTTCCTTTCACCAGTGTATATTGTTGTCTGCTTTGTTGACGATCAGGTGGTTATAGGTAGATGGTTTTATTAATATTTCTGAATTCTCTATTCTGTTCCATTGGTCTGTGTCTCTAACTTTATACCAGTTCCATGAAATTTTGGTTATCATAGCTTTGTGGTATAATTTGAAGTCAGGTAATGTGATGCATCAAGACCTGTTCTTTTTACTTAAGATTGTTTTGGCTATTTGGCCTCTATTTTAGCTCAAAATGAAGCATAGAATTATTTTTTCTAGATTTATAAAATATGATGTTAATATTTTTATGGAGAATATGTTGAGTCTATGAACAACAATATGGCAATATAAATATTTTATTGATGTTGATTCTATCAATTCACGACCATGTGATGTTTTTACATTTGTTTGTGTCATCTATGATTTCTTTCATCAATATTTTTTATCTCTCCTTACAGACATCTTTTGCTTCCTTGGTTCAGTGTAATGCTAGGTGTTTATTTTCTTTGCACCTATTATAATTGGTATTGAGGCCTTGACTATTTTTAGCATGTGGAAATGGTACTGATTTTGGTACATTGATTTTGTAATTAGAGACTTTGATGAATTTATTTATCAATTCATGGACTATTTTGATAGATTCTTTGGGATTTTCTAGATACAAGGTTATATCGTCACCAAATAGAGACTTCCTCTCTTCCTCTTTCCTAATTTGGATACCTTTTATTTCTTTCTCTTGCCTGATTGCTCCAGATAGGACTTCCAGGATCATATTGGGTAGATGTGGTGACGTGGTCACCCTGTCTTATTCTAGTTCTCAGGGGGAATGTTGCCAGCTTTTATCCATTCAGTATGATGTTCACTGTGAGTCTGTTATAAATGGCTTTACAGTTTTTAAGTATGTTCCTTCTATGCTTAGTCTGTTGAGGATTTTTATAATGAATGGTTGCTAGATTATACCAAATACTTTTTCTACATTTACTGAGATGGTCCCATGGTCTTTGTTTTTGCTTTGGTATCTGGTGAAGCATGTTTATAGATTTGCATATGTTAAACCATCCTTGCATCCCTGGGATGAAACCCAGTTGATCATGGGCGAATTATCCTTTTGATGTGCTATTGTATTCACTTTGCTAGTATTTTCTTGAGGATTTTTGCGTCTGTTTTCATAAGGAATTTTAGTCTATAGTTTTCTTTTTTTGTTGTGTCCTTTCCTGGCTTTGACATCAAGGTGATACTGGTTTCGTAGAATGAATAAGGGAGAATTTCCTTCTTCTTGATGCTACGAAATAATTTTTGTAGTATAGGTACCAGCTCTTCTTTGTAGATCTGGTAGAATTCAACTGAATCCATCTAGTTTGGGGCTTTATGTTGTTATTGTTATATTTTTTATTAGTGCTTTTCTTACCATTCATTCTTGATTTGTTTAGAATTTTTGTTTCTTCCTGATTCAGGCTTGGGACCTTGTGTGTTTCCAGGAATTTATGCATTTCCTCTACATTTTCTAGTTTGCCTGTGTAGAGGTGTTGTTATTTTTATTTATGTGGTATCACTCATAATGTATCCTTTCTCATATCTGATTGAGCTTATTTGAGATCCTTCTCTTTTATTTCTGGTTAATCTTTTCAAAGAACAAACTTTCTTTTTCATTGATCTTTTGTATTATTTTGGTGGTTTCCACTTCATTTAATTTTTCTCTGAACTTTGTTATTATCTTTTTTTATTCTGTTGGCTTTTGTTTGGTTTGTTTTTATTTTTCTATTTTCTTGAGATTCAACATTAGGCTGTTAACTTGTGATTTTTCTGTCTTCTTGATGTAAGTAGACACTTACGACTACATATTTTCCCCTTAAAACTGCTTTTACTGTATCCCATAGGTTTGAAAGCTTGTGTATCCCTTGTCATTAAGTTAGAGTAATCTTTAGATTTCTATGATCATTGACTAAAATTGTCTAATTTCCATGACTTTGTATACATTTGAGTCTTTATTTTGAAATTAATTTCTGTTTTATTTCACTGTGGTCTGAGAAGTTACACAGCATGATTTTTATTTTTTTTGAATTCACTGAAATTTACTTTTTTTATGGCCTGAGATATGATTAATCTTGGAGAATGTCCCATGTACTGATGAGAAAAATGTATATTCAGTAATTTTGGGGGTACAATGTTATGTAAATGTTTGTTAGATCCATTTGTTCTGGAGTTTCATTTAAGTCCACTATTTCCTTATTGACATTCTGCTTCAATTATCTGTCTAGTTTTCTGTCTGGGGTTGTTGAAGTACTTGGTAATTTCAATGCTACTGTTTATTTCTTTGCTTAGTTTTAGTAGAACTTGATTTATGAATATGGGAACTCCTGTGTTAGGTGCATAGATATGTTTGGGGTTGCTATATCTTCTTATTGAATAGCTCTCTTTACCATTATGAAATTACTATATTTGTCTTTTTTCCCCACCATTGTGTGATTACAGTACTATTTTATCTGATAGAAGAATGACTACATCTGCTCTCTTTTGGTTTCCATTTATGTGGAAAATATTTTCCCATCCTTTTACCTTGAGTCTGTGAGAGCCTTGTTGGTTAGATGCTGAGACAACCAAGACAGCCAAGATGTTGTCTTGTTGGGACAACACACATTTTCACACCATTCACGTTCAGTGTTAGTATTTATATATGTAGTATTGTTCTGTTTATCATGTTGAACACTATCTTATTGTTTTGTATTCCTTCTAGTGCTATTGTTTTAGTAGAACTGTGTGATTTCATTTTTGAGTGTTTTTACACTCGTGAGTGTTTTTTATGATATTCCTTATATAGTAATGACAAATTCTATTAGAGTTTGCTTGGAAAAGTCTTTATTTGTCCATCAATTGTGAAACTTAGTTGTGCAGGATACAAACTTCTTGGCTGGTAGTTGTTCTTGGCTGGCAATTTAAGGATGCTAAAAATGGAGTCTCAACATCTTCTAACTTTATGGTCTTTGATGAGGAATCTGCTGTTTTATGGGCTTTCCTTTGAAGGTCAGTTATTGCTTTCATCTTGCAGTTTGTATAATTTTCTCCTTCATTTTGACATGGCCAAAGTGAGGACTCCATGTCTTGGAGATGTCCTGTTTGCTATGAATCCTCTCTGTATTTGATGAACATCTTATATGTGGATATCCAAATATCTGGAAACACCAGAGAAACTTTCCTCAATATTGCCCTTCAATAGGTTTTCTATGATTTTTAATTTTTTTCTTCTCCCTCTGGGATGCCTATAATTTTTACACTGGCTCACATTGCATAGTTCTTTGTTTATCTGAATGATTATTTACTCTTATTTATCCTTTTTTCTGCATTGTTGACTGATTAGGTTAGTTTGAAAGCCTTGTCTTCCAGCTCTGAAAAAAATTCTTTCTTCTGCTTGGTTTAGCCTGTTGTTGAGGCTTTCTGGTTTATTTTCAAATCTCCAAATTACCATTTTATTTCTTTAATCTCTTTTATAGCCTTTCTTATATTTTCTATCTCTTTATTTAGTTTGCTGATTTTTTTCACTCATGTCCTAAAACACATTTTGGGGGGAAGCTTCATTGTGTGGGTTTTCAACTTTCTCTTTAATGTCATTCATCTTATTTGCCACCAATATTATCAATTTCATCTGTGACATTTCAATAATTTCTTTTTGGTTGGGGTTCATTGCTGAAACCTATTGTGATTCTTTAGAGGTGTCAAAACAGCTTTTTTTTTTTTTTTTTAATGTTGCCAGAGTTATTCTGGCTCCTCATCTGAAATCTCTTCTGTCAATTCAAGATACATAAGCTTGTGGTGCACACATTCTCCTAGGCACTCTCTTACTGAGTGCAAAGAAGGGGGAGGTCCGTGGGTGGTGCACTTGTATCTTATTCTGGAAGATTGACCCAGAGTGGGATGGAGAGATGTACGGTGAGCACTGAACACTGTTACTGTTGTTTTCCTGCACCTGCTGCTTCACTGTTCCCCTGTGGTTGTCACTGGTGGTCTCTACATGGCAGAGTGAATATCCCACCTAGACTGTCAGCATCTGCAATTGTCAGTCTGAGCCATCTTGAGAGCTGCTCCCCTCAGATCTGTAGGCAGTGATGTTTGTCAGCCTGCATTGCTTTAACTATAGCCCCATCCCACTCATAGGTGGCAATAATTTGTCTCCATGTGCTATCTTGGGATCTTCTCCCAACCCAACCCCTCAGTGCCATGTTTATTGCCCCATGTGGCTTGAGTGTAGTGTCACTCATGTTCTTGGGCTGCAGCAGTTATCAGCCTGTGCTGGCTTGAGGGCAGCTCTACCCCTGCCTTCCAGAGTCAGTGTTTGTGAGCTCAGATGTGCTTGAGGGCTATCTGGGTTAGGCCTGTGCAGGCAGAATAGGGATTGAAGACCCCATTCTTGGCAAGGGAAAACACTCCCTGAAAAGGGGGAAAGTTAAAAAGCAGCCCAAGCGCTTTCTGCCTGTGGACGCTGCCGAGGAAGCATCGTTAAAGTCTCTTCCCACCGCCGTCATGTCTAAGTCAGAGTCTCCTAAAGAGCCCGAACAGCTACGGAAGCTATTCATTGGAGGATTGAGCTTTGAAACGACTGATGAAAGTCTGAGGAGCCATTTTGAGCAATGGGGAACGCTCACAGACTGCGTGGTAATGAGAGATCCAAACACCAAGCGCTCCAGGGGCTTTGGGTTTGTCACATACGCGACCGTGGAGGAGGTGGATGCAGCAATGAATGCAAGGCCACACAAAGTGGATGGAAGAGTTGTGGAACCAAAGAGAGCTGTTTCCAGAGAAGATTCTCAAAGACCTGGTGCCCACTTAACTGTGAAAAAGATCTTTGTTGGTGGCATTAAAGAAGATACTGAAGAACATCACTTAAGAGACTATTTTGAACAGTATGGGAAAATTGAAGTGATTGAAATCATGACTGACCGAGGCAGTGGCAA